AGCAGGATCTTTGACCACATGGGAGCAACCATCTTGTGTGTTGGAGTGATGGTCAATCTGTTTTATTAGATAGGATAGAAGCCTGGTGCTCAGGTGGGACCTGGCTGGTTTGCCCTGAAGGATGTTCTGGGCCTCAATCTGGAAGCTGAGGCAACTACCCTTTTGTTTAGGCAAGTAAGTGAATGCCGCAGCCAGAATAGCAAGTTGAAATTCAAACAGCAGTTTTTACCCAGTATGGTTGCTACCGTACTTCATTGGAGACCTGATTTGTAGATGATCTGACCGCCTCCGCGCACCCCGCTCCCGTGATGGCTGTGTTTCACCTGCTGACGTGAATTTGGCTGGGTGAGCGCTCTCGTGGCTGCAGGTGGTTTGGTTGCACGTGGGAGGCACTCCCTGCCTTGCACTTGTTTTCAGACTGCAATGGGATAAGTATGTTATTTCAGGAATCAGATGGCCCCGTCCGAGGCTCTGTCTCATTATGCAATTAGCTCAAGGTGATATTTCCTTCCCTACATAATAACCAATTGTTTAGATTCTTTTCTGAAAAATCTTATAGAGGAAGGCAATCGAATAAACAGGGAAATTTTATAAAGCAAAAATTAGGCTCAGCATCTTAAAAGATTACAAAGCAAACTGAAATATAAATCATAATGAAAATATAAGAGAATATATGACGCTGCTCCTCTGTCCCGCGGGCCTCGGCCTTGCCTGGTGGTTTTACTCAGAGGGACTGCCCTTGCCGCCAGCACACATGTCACAGGGCACGCCTGTCAGGAAGCGGGCAGGTAGGATGGAAGCCGTGCCCTGTGCATGGCCTGGGCTGCCTTTTCAGCGCCGGCGTCAGTGAGCACACTGTGCCCTCACTTCACACCATGCCCCGTGCCCATGGCGTGCCCTACGTGGTGGCTGAGTGACCACGGAGGCTCCGGTTGGGGGAGGGGTGCCCGGGACTCCATGCCCCTCCACCTTGTCTCTGCTCTGCACACTGGGGGCCCCTCCTGGGGGCCCAGGGCCACGTCCTCGGTGTGTGTCTCCCACAGTCCCTGGCACACACCTGGCTCAGGGCACAGGCGACATTGCTGTGGACGTCCCTCCCGCCGCGTCCTCTGATGGTGGCCTTTTCCCCACTGCGGCCGAGCACTCACCAACGGAGCGGAGACTCTGGATTCCATCGGTCAGGGACAGCGAAGGGCCTGTCAGAGGGAGTAGTGGTGTTTCCTCCTCCATTTGCCTTTGCTTGTGGACACTGTGTCTGAAACTATGATTTTTTCAGGAACATTCCACGGGTAAATGAAGCTCCCTGATAAATGCCAAAAGAAAAAACAAAACTAAACTAAAACTGTTTTAAACTCATTCCTGGGACTTACTTTGATCTCCTTTGGCAGGTTTTAGGGCACAAACAAAAGCAAATGTTGGGAATGAACGGCACATGATAAGGGAAGAGGGTGCATTAGCCACCTGTGACCTCACAGGCTGACCCTTCGTTTTCATAACTGCCATTCTGGCTGGAGCTCCAAACTGGATGTGGGTGCCTTGGGTACGTGTGTGTGTGTGTGTGTGTGTGTGTGTGTGTGTGTGTGTGTCTTGTCCTTGTATCCTCTATGTTTCCTATAGTTTATTTTTCTTCTATTTTCCCCATATATTCTCTTATATTTTCATTATGATTTACATTTCAGTTTGTTTTGTAATCTTTTAAGATGCTGAGCCTAACTTTTGCTTTATAAAATTTCCCTGTTTATCCGATTAGCCTTCCTCTATAAGATTTTTCAGAAAAGAATCTAAACAATCGGTTATTATGTAGGGAAAGAAATATCACCAGTTTCCCTTGAGCTAATTTGCATAATGACAGCCTTCCACTTCACCACATTCCTTTTCTCCAGGACAACAAAGGACAGCCTTTCACAGGCTCTGGTCTCCATTGTTCTCCCAATTCCTATCAGCATTTCCATTCCTTTCCCTGTGGGTGCAGGGAGGCTGCTGTGTAGACCACACTGGCTGTCCCTGGAGTCAGTCCTCAGGCTGTGCTGTGGGCCATGCTGTGAGTGGTCAGCCGCTGCCCAGAGGTTCTGTCCCCTCAGCGTTCCTGCCACAGTGTGAACTGGCCATGCTCTGTCCCGGGCAGGGTGCTGGCTGCCCTGGTGCCTGCAACATGCGGACAGCGGGATGTTTTCGGGGTCCTGTGACTGTTAATCGCTGTGGTGGCTCAGTGCCATGGCTGGTCAGTGTCGTGGCTGGTCAGCACCGTGGCTGGTCAGTACCATGGTTGGTGAGTCCTATGTCTGGTCACCTCATTGGCTGGTCAGTGCTGTGGCTCGTCATCTCCGTGGATGGTCATCTCCGTGGCTGGTTCAGCGCAGTGGCCGATCATTTCCATGGCTGGTCAGTGTCGTGGTTGGTGAGTCCTATGGCTCGTCAGTGCTGTGGCTCCACAGATCTTCTGTGTCCAGGTCCTGCCACCTCTCCTCATGCCCCAGCCTCAGGCTCACTGCTGCCTGCAGCGGCCCAGGCCTCACCTCCATTGAAGGCTGAGCAGGCACAGGAGGCCTTCCCAGGATACACTGTGACTGTTCTTGGCTCAGAGACCTCGGCCATGTCACCTGCTCCCTCAGCCTGTGGCTATGAAGGGAATGGCTCCCCATCCATCTGCATGTTCAAATCCCCTGGGTCCCTGCAGAAACCCAAAGCCCAGGCCACAACAGACCCACGGACTCAGATTGCTGGGGGTTTGGGGGTAGTCACAGACTCAGCACAATGGGAGCCCCAGGGGCCCCTGTGCAGGCAGGTTTGGGGCCAGGCTGGCCCTGACCAGCACTCCCTGTCTTGGCTGCAGGAAGTCCCTCTCCCACAGCCACTGACCAGGTGGAGGACATGAGCACCTACCCATCAGGGCCCTGTCAGTAGGGACCCCAGAGAGGAGGGCAAGGTGGGAGAGAGCCACCAGGTCACTGCGGACGCTGGCCCCGGAGTGAGTGCGTCTTGTTTAGAGTTTGCCCTCCCTGCCCAATCCTGTGACCTTGTCATGTTTTAAATTCACTGTCTCCGCCTGCAGAGGGACAGCAGCCGCACCAGTGGGCATCCCTGCTAGATGAGCCAAGGAAAAGGGCCTCAGAGTCCCGGCAGCCAGGTCGGGGAGAGCTAGCGCTGCCGGGCACAAGGCCCAGAGGCCCTCACTGCAGTGCCCAGAGGGCAGGGGCGGGGGGAGGCGGGCGGGCAGGCCAGCTCCTGCCTCAGGCCCAGGACGCACCGTGGGGCCAGCACCCGCCTCTGCCCAGGCTCAGCCGCTTCCATGAGGCTCCTGGTGGGCCCGGCGTCGGTATTTTTACAAAGATCCTGGTGAGGGTGACTGAAGACCGAGTGGGCCTGGAGGCCCCAGGGCTGGAGTCCTGAGGGAAGGAGAGGACGGCAGTCTGGCTGTTTCCGTGGCCGTTTCCGTGGCTGTTTCCATGGCTCTTCCAGATGAGCCCATTTGGGCCAGAAAAACAGGCTGAGCTGGTTTGGGTGATTCTTTACTCGCTTTATGCCAGACATGCTCTCTTCCGACATTACACAGCGATGGGAGTTTCTGCTCACTCCACTCACGCACGTTGCTCTGGGGCTCAGCGTGGACACGGAGAGGGTCAGGTGTCCCATCTCTCACGCTTGCGCAGCGCTTTAACTGACAGTGCGTTCTGCTCCTGGCTCATTCCTTTCCCAGGGAGTGTGTTTCCTGTTAGCCAGACGCAAACCAATCACTCAGTCCGTCCCAGTGGCCAATAGCCAGACACAAACCAATCACACATTGCATCCTGGTGGCCCATTAGCCAGATGCAAACCAATCACACGGTGTGTCCTGGTGGCCATTAGCCAGACGCAAACCAGTCACACGGTGTGTCATGGTGGCCGTTAGCCAGATGCAAACCAACAGGTGGTGTGTGTGGAGGCACTCGGCCTGTCCTTGTCTCCGCCGGCTCCCCGGGAGGGTAACTTTTGGCGCGTTGTTTGCTGGGTCATGAGTGTGCTCTGTCTTGTGTTGCATGGTTACACCGGCCACAAACATAAGATGATAGAAGCCCATTAAAGCCACCAACAACTGTGAAAGGCGTCCCCGGGCGTCCTCGCTGGGAGCCATGCCTTCGATGGCTGCTCTGCTGCCACGTGCTTTTCCGGGAGCCTTCGGAGGTGTGGCACTGGCCTGGGCCTGCAGCCACGTCCCGTTGCCTTGTCCCGACCCGTGGGCCCCACTCGAACCCGTGCTGAATCCACCAGTAACTCGGCGTGAGTGGGATTGCTTATGGAACTGGGTGTCACCATTTCATCACAGGCAGGTCTCCCTCAGAGACCAGCGGCTCCTGGGAACGTGGGAGGACCTGGGACCGTCAGTGTGGCCTCCGTCACCATGCACCGGGGTCAGGGCTGGGCTCAGGGTCACCATAGGTCACTGTCCCGCTTTCCTGGTCCCCAGGGACCTGTCATGTGAGGTCCTGAGTGAGTGGCACATGCTGGCCTGAGTGAACAGGTGACCCGCCTGCTGGGGACACGTCTGAGTGACCTGGGGCTGACTGGGGCAGGGCGGGACTCAGTTCTGGGGCTCACAGCAGGGGGTCCCTGCGGGGCAGTCCCCACAGCGGGATGGCCCTGGCAGCCCCACGCCTTTTCAGCTCCTTCGCTGGGCTCTGGCGGATCCTAGGAAGGTCACAGGGCACCCACTTCCCGGTCTTGCCCCGAGGACAGCCCTGGGGCCACAGAAGCCAAGGCTGAGCTGGCTGAGGGGGAGACAAGCTGGCTGAGGGAGATGCTGGCAGCCTGCGCTCAGGAGGCAGCTGTGCCCGGTGTGGCCTCCGGTGACCAGCAGGCAGCAATGTGGTGCCGGACACCGGGCCAGGCTAACTGGCTGCCCAGCAGACGTGAGGGTGCTGTTTCCCAGAAGTGACAGCCACTCGAGGGCCTCGGAACTTGCTGCAGCACCTCCCCCGGCCCCCAGAGGGTGCTGGCCGGGACTCATGGCTCTTCCCCCGCAGGAGAAGCCCTACAAGTGCTCAGACTGCAGCAAGGCCTTCAGCCAGAAGCGCGGGCTGGATGAGCACCGGAGGACACACACCGGGGAGAAGCCCTTCCAGTGCGACGTGAGTCCCCTCCTTGCATCCAAGTCCTCCACGTGTCCACGCCTGCCTGAGCGTGTGTGCACGCCTCAGCGTATGTGTATGTCTGTATGGATGTACACATCTGTGTGTGTGCACACCTGAGCGTGTGCGCACGCCCACACCGGAGCATGTGTGTGTGTCTGTATGGGTGTACACATCTGTGTGTGTGAACGCCTGAGTGTGTGTGCACTCCTGAGTGTGTGTGCACACCTGAGTGCGTGTGCATGCCTGAGCGTATGTGTGTGTCTGTATAGGTGTACACATCTCTGTGTGTGCACGCCTGAGTGTGTGTGCACGCCTGAGTGTGTGTGCACACCTGAGTGCGTGTGCATGCCTGAGCGTATGTGTGTGTCTGTATGGGTGTCCACATCTTTGTGTGTGCATGCCTGAGTGCGTGTGCACACCTGAGCGTGTGTGTGTGTCTGTATGGGTGTACACATCTTTGTGTGTGCACGCCTGAGTGCGTGTGCACACCTGAGCGTGTGTGTGTGTCTGTATGGGTGTACACATCTTTGTGTGTGCACGCCTGAGTGCGTGTGCACACCTGTGCGTGTGTGCGTGTCTGTATGGGTGTACACATCTGTGTGTGTGCACGCCTGATCATGTGTGTGTGTCTGTATGGGTGTACACACTTGTGTGTGTGCACGCCTGAGTGTGTGTGCACACCTGCGTGCGTGTGCACGCCTGAGCGTATGTGTGTGTCTGTATGGGTGTACACATCTTTGTGTGTGCACGCCTGAGCGTGTGTGCATGCCTGAACGTGTGTGCATGTCTGTATGGGTGTACACATCTGTATGTGTGCACGCCTGAGCGTGTGTGTGTGTCTGTATGGGTGTACAAACTTGTGTGTGTGCACGCCTGAGTGTGTGTGCATGCCTGAGATTGTGTGCGTGTCTGTATGGGTGTACATATCTGTGTGTGTGCATGCCTGAGTGTGTGTGCACACCTGAGCGTGTGTGAGTGTCTGTATGGGTGTACACATCTGTGTGTGTGCACATCTGAGTGCGTGTGCATGCCTGAGATTGTGTGTGTGTCTGTATGGGTGTACACATCTGTGTGTGTGCATGCCTGAGTGTGTGTGCACACCTGAGCGTGTGTGTGTGTGTCTGTATGGGTGTACACATCTGTATGTGTGCACACCTAAGTGCATGTGCACACCTGAGTGTGTGTGCATGTCTGTATGGGTGTACACATCTGTGTGTGTGCACGAGTGTGTCTGAACATATGTGCCTGTGTGTCTGAGTTCATGTATATGCATGAGAGGGCATGTGTGTCTGTGGGCATGTGTGTCTGAAAACATGTGTAGGCATGAGTGAGCATGTGTGTCAATGCACCTGTGTGTCCATGACCATGCACGTGTGTCTGAGTGCATGTGTGTGAGTGTGTATGAGTGCATGTGTCTGAGTACATGTGCGTGCATGAGTGGCCATGCATGTCTGAGTACATGTTCCTGTGAGTAGGCATGTGTGTCTGGGAACATGTGTGTGCATGTGTGGGAGTACATGTGTATGCACGAGTGGGCATATGCATCTGAGAACATATGTGTGTCTGAGTAGACATGCATGTCTGAGTACATGTGTATGCATGAGTGGGCGCGTGTGTCTGAGTACATGTGTATGCATGAGTGGGCGCATGTGAGTACATGTGTATGCATGAGTATGCCACTTATGCTTTTAGACCCAAAGCCTTTCATTTAAGAGGGCCGAAACCAGTTTGGCTCAGTGGTAGAGCATCAGTTTGCGGACTGAAAGGTCCGGGGTTTGATTCTGGTCAAGGGCATGTACCTTAGTTGCGGGCACATCCCCGGTAGGGGGTGTGCATGAGGCAGCTGGTCGATGTTTCCCTCTCATTGACGTTTCAAGCTCTCTATCTCTCTCCCTTCCTCTCTGTAAAAAATCAATTAAAAATATATGTTTTTTTAAGAAGAAGAAAAAAAGAGGTTTAGTAGGAAATGGTTGCTATGTCCATTCTGGCCAGAAAGGAATTGCTTGTGGTTGTTCCTTTGAGACGTGTGGATGGAGCAGCTGTGGGCAGGCAGGGAGGTCAGCATGCAGAGCCCACAGGTGAAGTGCGGGGACTCTGGGAACTGGGATTATTTCACCCCCTTTGCGGGCCGTTCCCTCCAAGAATGGCTTGGCCTGGGGTGCGTGTGGGCCCATGTCCCTCCTGGCGCAGGCGGCCTGTGTGCCTGGGGGGTTTCCCAATGGGCCATCAGCCCTGTGCTCTCTCCTAGGTGTGCGACCTGGCCTTCAGCCTCAAGAAGATGCTGATCCGACACAAGATGACGCACAACCCCAACCGCCCGCTGGTGGAGTGCCAGTTCTGCCACAAGAAGTTCACGCGGAACGACTACCTCAAGGTGCACATGGACAACATCCACGGCGAGGCCGACAGCTGAGGGGCCTGCGGGGTGAGGGGTGGGGGGCCTGGGGAGCCCGGCTCCCTCCCCGTCGGTGTGGCAGAGGCAGCCCTCGGCATGCACTGGCCTCACGGTCCTCTTTGCTGACGTTTAGAGTCTGTAGACACATGTCCCATCCTACCAAGAACGGTGTGAATGGGAAAAGACAGCCTCGTAGCCTTTCACAACAGCCTGTGCCTGTGCCTGTGCCTGTGCCTGTGCCTGTGAGCATGGAAGGGGAGTCTCGGCCCTCTCTGATGGAGGTGATTACATGCATACTGCCAGGCCTTTCTGTTGTGCTGTTTCTGCGTGTGTATGTGTGTGTGTGTGTGTGTGTGTGTACCGTGCACATCACATGCCGGTTACCACCCCTGGCTATCGCTAACGCAGCCATGAGGACATTCAGATACTCAAGGCTCCTCACGGTGGACGAGGATGCGTGCGAGTTCCACACCTCCACACAATGGCCCTCGGCCCACGGAACGCGCTATCACCGGGGTCTGTGAAATGGAGCAAATGTGGCTCCTGTGCGACCCTCCCTCCCCACCGCAGATCAGTGTGAATAAGGAGGCCGCTGAGAGCTGGCACCCGCCTTCAGCGGTTCTCAGAACACGGACTGCGCTCCTCACAGGCGCAGGCACTCGTGGTCGGCAATGCTGTGGTAAGACCTGCACCGGAGCGACCACAGCGGTGGCATGTCCACCAGGCGGGGCCTCCTGAAATGAACGGTCACCACACGGTGGACGCACCCAGCAGGGAAGCAGGAGGGAGGGCCCCATAGAGGCCGAGGGCAGCGAGGGGACGGTAGTGTGTGACGGGCCCAGACCTCTGCTCCCCCTCCACAGCCAGGGCCCCTTCCAGGTCCGAGTCCTCAGAGCAGACATTCTGTCTGGAAAAGGACATTTCTCAGAAGCTCAGCCGTGGCGATTCTCAAACACCTTTGAGTTCCCTTGGATCTTCCTGGGAGAGGAGGAACCCGGAATGAAAAACAAACCTGGCAATGGTTAGGATGGACATGGTGTAGATGCTTAAGGGATATGGAAGTCAGAAGCATGTTTCTTCCTTCTGGTTCCATTTCAGTGAAATATTTGAGAGCTTGCTTTGGGAGAAGACACGAGAAAACGAGATAGTGATGTCTGGTAGCATGTAGGGGAACCCAAAACCAGAAAACAAAGAATGAAGCCCAAATTCTGAGCGAGCCTATTAGAGCCGCACCAGAGAGAGGAAGTGTCCTTCCGAGAAGTTCTTTGGTTCTGACAACTTTAGGAGAAAGGTTACCTGAACACATAATGATTTGTAGTCAGTAATCTCAGTTTAGACGTATATTCACGCTCAGTTTCAGTTTTGAAAAGAAAAGAGACTCACTGTAGATATTTCAGCTCTGTCTGTAAAGTACGAAATTTGGAACTCACCAGAGATAACTTCAAAAATGTATATTCTCCGATTACCATTTAGATGTCGGAGCAAGGCTCTGCTGTTTTGTATCTGAAATTATAGACTATTTTCCAAGAACGGGCTTGGTCTCGTCTCCCGTCGTTTGTTTGGAGGGTAATTTTAGATCCCGTGTTTTCTATCTCCCACTCTGCACCCCGTTGCGAACATAAAGGGACAGCTGCTCGGCGGGCGTGTGCGTTTGAGACCGTCTGCGTGGCCAGGGCTGCTTCCTGGCGGGGGCTACCGCCCGCGATGCGTGAACGTGAGGCCGGGGAGGAAGCCAGACACTGGGGTGATGTGATAGCAGCACCTCCATTGGGGGCGCTGGCGAGGCCGCCCCTGGAATCAGAGTCCCTGCTGCTGGCAGAGACCGGGGCCTTCCCGGCTGGAGGTGTGTGTCCTGGAGGACCGGACCTGGCAGACACGGAGTGGCCAGGCCTCCTGCCGCCTGTTCCCGGCTCTGAAACCAGCCGCCCTGAGAACCGGGTGGTCCCCGCTCGCCCAACTGGCCTGCTGAGAAGCATGTCCATTGTAGGCTCTGGGCCTGCTGCCTTAGCAAAGCACAGAGATGGGAGGAGAGCACAGTGGGCATCCATGCAGCCTGCAGGCAGCTGCATGAGAAGCCAGGAGGAAGCCCCTCCTCTCTCCTGCCCCGGCCTCCTCAGAGAAAGGACAAACTCGGGCCCACTGAGCAGGGCTCAGTGACCCCAAGAGGGATTCGGTCCTATGGGGGGTCCTGTGCCCTTTTTTTATAATATATTTTACTGGTTTTCTACAGAGAGGAAGAGAGAGGGATAGAGTTAGAGAATCATTGCTCAACTGCCTCTTGCACACCCCCTATTGGGGACATGCCCGAAACCAAGGTCCATGCCCTTGACCGGAATCCAACCTGGGACCCTTCAGTCCACAGGCCGATGCTCTATCACTGAGCCACACCGGTTCGGGCTCCCATGCCCTTTTGTAATTATCAGCTTTGGATATGGGCATTCGAGGTCTTGTAGATACTGATTCTTTCTGTTTCACAGTCATTAGCTTATATTGCTCTCATTTCCTCCTCCCCTCTTACTTTCTCCTTCCTCCACCCCCTCCTCTTCCTCCTCCTCCTCCCCACCCCTCTCCTCCCGGCCCTCTTCCTCCTCACCCCCCTTTTCAGTTGTTGGCTAAAGAGGGAACTTTATGGGTTAACCGTGACCGGCAGTTGCAGCGTGAGAGTACGCATTGAGGATCCATTCTTGGTTTACACAGGATGGCTCACATGCTGCTTTTAAGAAACATCTACTTCAAGCTTGCGTGCATGTATGTGTGTGTGGTGTCCATGTGTGTCTGAAGAGCATCCTTTTATGCAAAACTCACACATGGAAGTCCATTGCTGGGCTCCAGATTCTTCCTGAGGCAGCCAGCTCACTGCAGCCTGTGAGCACCACAGGGCCCAGAAGGCCCTGCAGCCTCTTTGGGGTGTTACCTTGTGGAGCTGTGCCTCTCCCAGAGCTGGGAGGGAGGGAGGAGAGAGGGAAGGAGGAAAGGAAGAAGGGAGCGGGGAGGGAGAAAGGGAAGGAAGGAGGGAGGAAAGGAGGGGGAAGGAGGAGGGAGGGAAGGAGGGGGGGAGGGGGGAGGAAAGAAAAAAGGGGGGAGGGGGAGGGAAGGAGGGAGGAAAGGAGGGGGGAAGGAGGAAGGAAGGAGGGATGGGGAGGGGGAGGGAAGAATGGGAGAGGAGGGAGGAAAGGAGGGGGGAGGAGGAGGGAGGGAGGGATGGGGAGGGGGGAGGGAAGGATGGGGAGGGAAGGAAGGACGGAGGGGGGAGGGGAGGATAGGAGGGGGGAGAAGGAGGGGGAAAAGGGGGGAGAAGAAGAGGGGGAAAGGAGGGGGGTAGAAGGAGAAAGGAAAGGAGGGGAAGGAGAAGGGAAGGAGGGAGGGGGAGGGGGGAGGGAGGAGGAGGGGGTAAAGAAGGAGGGGGGAAGAGGAGGGAGGGAAGGAGAGAGGGGGAGGGAAGGAGGGGGGAGGAGGAGGGAAGGAGGGAGGGGAAGGGGGAGGGAAGGAGGGTGGCGCACAGGCACTGGAGAAACCCATTTTCTCTTCCCTTTGTGGATCTGTTGCCTGTGGAACTCGGCTTGGGTTGTAAGGATGTGGAGATAGGCAGGGCGGAGAAAACGCACTGCTTTAAAGCTGAGACGTAGCCTTTAGCGTGAGGCTGCTCCCAGGTACATACGTGCGCCGACCCCGGTACCCCTTCTGTCTCACCATGGTCTGCCCTCTGTCCACCACACCCTCGCGTGGCGCTGCCCGTGTCGCGCAGAGCGCAGCCAGCGGTTCTGTGGAAAAGGCCGCAGGACGTGTTTGAGATGCTTTTGATGAGAGGGAAGTATCGATAGCTCTCTGTCCCTCTCCTTTCCTCTCTGTGAAAAATCAATAAAAATATGTGTTTTTTTTTTAAAAAAAATAATAAAAAGGATAGAAGCGACACTAAGATACTGAAATACAACTTTAAAAATAAGAATACCTCAAACCCAGGCGTAACTTTTCTCACCGGGAGCTGGTGGCCTCGGATGTCCGTGCTGAGCGGTGCCCAGAGTCCGGTTCCCGGGTTCTCAGTGGCGCCCCCATGTGCTGCCTGGAGCCGCCTCACAACTGCACATCTCCAACCACAACCGCTCAGAAGCAGTGTGGACACGAGGCGGGAGGGATGGCAGTTCTATTAATAGAAACGTCGATGAGAGAAAACATTGTACAGCTGCCTCCTGCACACCTCCCATGGGGGGGTGTACCCACAACCAAGGTACATGCCCCTGACCGGAATCGAACCTGGACCCTCCAGTCTGCAGACCAGCGCTCTATCCACTGAGCCACACCGGTTTCGGTGTGCCGCTTTGATCTTGAGCAGCATCCCTGTTACAAAAAGGAAAATGGTCCCCGTCATCATGCTCCTCCCGCCTTCTTCATCGCACATCCGTCGCTCAGAGCGGCCAGGGCCCCGTTCTCCGCAGCGGGCCTCGCCGCCCAGACCTCCGTGGGTTCAAAGCGGTGTCACCGCCACTTGTTAACGTGCCGTGTGACAGGGTGAGAGCCGACGCGGGAGCTCCAGGGAGGGCCCATGAGCCAGAGCAGGACACGATCGCTTTCTGCTACTAAAATGGGTTCCAGTGTGTTTCCTTCCTTAGAAAAGTGCGTCACAGGATGCTTTAAGACAAACGTTATTTATATATTTTTTTCTTATTAAAAAAATAGTTATTGATTTTTTACAGAGAGGAAGGGAGAGTTGGAGAGATAGAACTAGAAACATCGATGAGAGAGAATCATCGATCAGCTGCCTCTTGCACACCCCCCACTGGGGATGTGCCCACAACCTGGGTACATGCCCTTGACCGGAATCAAACCTGGGACCTTTCAGTCCACAGGCCTACACTCTATCCACTGAGCCACATCAGTTTTGGCCAAAAGTTTATTTCGTTGCTAAATAAGCTCCATCCCTAATAGATAGCATATTTAACGTCCTAACTCTGCAAATGTGGAGGCAATTAGAACAAACTTTTATTCCTTGGGCCCCCATAATACACAGCAGGAGAAAACCG